TATTAAAGTTTTTCTTCATTACCCATTTAAGCCGTCTCCAGCCATTATTATACTAATTATTATATTATGTTAGTCTTCTAAAATTTATTGTTGATGTAGTGCCCAATAGAATATGGGAAGATGAAGACACAATTTCACTCGATATTTAATATTTATTCTATAATTTGAAAATTACTATTCTAAAAATGCAGAGTACATTATTGATTATAGTGTTAATTTGTGCTTATACACATGAATCAAGAAACAGTTAATGCATAAAATCAACAAATTTTAAAGAACACTGCCATGTTTAATTCAGCAGCCTATATGATTATACAGATCAAGAAGAAAGAATATTTTCATATGAAATAAACATAAAACAGAATTAAAAATACAAAATGGCATGATAGCCTAAAAAGAGAAAATAAATTGCAAATATTTAAATATAGAAATTAAAATGTAAAAACTTACCAAAATACTGAACATTTGCTACGGTTCGTGCAGCGCCACCTATAGGAGGAAACATGCAGCACAGTTAACAACACACATGCAAGACCATGCAACAAGTCAAACAAACGATATGTTTTCGAAACAAAACAAAACACAATAACAAATAAAAACAAGGTTTCACAGACTAACTACTTATGTTATACATTTAATATGAATAAGAAATAACATGCTGAAATTATTTGCTTGTTTTCTGTTAAATATGTAAAATTATTTGCGTTTATAATTATTTACTCAAATTAAATAAATCTTCAAATATTTACTTTTGAAAGAAGTAAAAAAATTTGCACTCATCCTCTTTTAATTTCTTAAAAAAAGAATCGTTTTTTATGTTTCAAATATTTTAAAAATAGTTTGTTCTTCAAAATAACACAGTAAAAGGTTTATCTGCTGGCATTGACATTGAAGTAATAATCCCTATACTTAAAGGTTAAAGGTTTTGTGGATGTTCAGTGCTCTAATTAACAGGCTAGAAAAAACAACATCAAAAACATGATAAAATTCACACTCTGCAATAAGCGCAGGTTTGTTAATTAGTGGGGCGTAATCATAGTTGAGCTAATCTATGTTGGGTGATTGGGTAATTACCCACATAAAATAGAAACTTTGAAAAATAACCCAAAGTGTTACTTTACAAAAAACAAAACAAAGTGTTTCTTTGTTAAGTAGTGGTTAAGTAGTGTGGATATATTTCGTCTCAAACACTGAATGTTTTCATTATCAATAAAGAGATAAGATTTGTCTTGCTGTCATTTATTTATGCGTAAGTGATTCAACATTAAAATATTTTATTGCAAAACATTCTGAATTTTACTATGGTTAGTTGTAAGACAGCATCTTCAATACGAAAATAATAAAAAATCCAAAATTTAAAACGAAACCTGTTTAAAATGATTAGAAAAACTTTGACCATGTTTTAAATTTCAATGACATTAAGAAAAAGGTGTGTAACTTTGAATCACTGTTACATTCAAGGGTGGACAGTGTCCGCCAATTATTTTTAGGGAAACACCATTTTTCATACTCCTATGTGCATTGTTAATTGTTGTAAATAGTATTTTGTGGAGGATTTAAATGTTATTATTTTATCTCTATATTGGGTAACCCTATACACTAACTTCTGTAGAAATCCAACCCTACTTCGAAGCAACTACACTCTAGCATAAGTCGAAATGGTTAGGCATTGTTATAATAGTCGAGGAAACTTTTTGTTTTGCTTAAAAGTTCATTGAGATTAGGATGGTTAGGGCGCTCGACTCGCAATCTGAGAGTCGCGGTTTCGAATCCCCGTCCCACCAAACATGCTCGCTCTTTCAGCCATGGGGGCGTTATAATGTGACGGTGAATCCCACTATTTGTTGGTAAAAGAGTAACCTAAGAGTTGGCGGTGGGTGAGGATGACTAGCTACCTTCCCACTAGTCTTTCACTGCTATATTAGGGACGGCTAGCGTAAATAGCCCTCTTGTATCTTTGCGCGAACTTCAAACGAAACCATTGAGCTTAGACAAGGTCACAAACCTGTCTACCCCCTAATTTGAATACATCGCAAGACTTCCATATAAATAAAGCACAAAAAACTTTATACAAGATTATAACATACACTATAGTTCCATTCTACTACTCACCGAATTTAATGAAAATATAAAGTAGGCTTAACAAAGATTCAATTGTTTTGTATATATACATTTAACTGTTAGAGCATTTTTACAAAGAACAGAAAAACATACTATCAAAAGCAAAACAAATTGAAACAGGTGTAATATTAAATGAATGGAGACAAACAAAACTACTTTGATACGAAAAATCTGTCAAACTTCGTCAAAAAATAAATATAAGCAAGTGCTTAAATGATGGCTGAAGTAATAGCTGAATAAAATGATTAAATTAGAAACAAGGAAGAAATATGTAACTATCTGATTACCATAAACAAAGTTTTGAAGAATATAATATATGCTAACAAATAACGAACAGTTGACAGTGTTTTGCAATGTCTGAGGCTAAGAGAGTGGATTATTGCACTGATTATTCGTTCATTTTATCTACAAACATTATGAAGACTATTGTCCTGTTTTGATGTGAATTGAATAAGTTATCCAAAATAACAGGACCTTTATTTGAACGTTTTGTTTAATGACGAACTTTACATTTTGTTTGACTCGACTAGAAATTATTACTAGATGAAGGATATTTTCATCTTCACCATAGTGTGGGATAGGCGTGGCCTAGTGGCTAATGGTCCAGAATTCAAGATGTCATGACTCACCCTTCAGCCCCTGAACACTCTTCACATTTCATTCCAAAAGTGGCAATCGGTACGTTATTCCGTTAAAAGAGCCAAGCCAACGTATTGTGGCTGCTGGTGCTACTGACTGGTCACCTTCCCCCTGGTCAGTAGCTCAAAATTAGGGACGGATATACCTGAAACATACGGGTTTCTGACCTGGCTGTTTAGCCTACAATTCGCATGAAGTGTTGTTCATGTTGCAAATTACAATTCCTACTCCATACTTTATTTTCAAATGATTTCAGAAAAGTTATTTCCTATAACGATATTTAATTAGATCTAGAACGAGTATTCAAACACTTTTCGTTATTTTTATTGCGGCAGATCATGTTTATGTGATGATGAAAATGCTTATCTGTATAAAAACCTCCTAGATTATCATCGCGTTGTCTGTCAGCATATAACAAGTTATTGTCAAGCAACGCTTAACTATTATTAAAACGAAAGTCTTAATTTAAGTTTCGCGAAGTTAATGCTTTATATTTATTTTAGTTATAGTTATCATTCTTATACCGTAAACCAATTTATGTTGCAGACACGTTACTTTAGATAAACCTGTCTTTCTAGGAAGAAGTGTATGTGTGCGTGTCGACATGTGAAGACACCAATCCAATAGGTATAACCTTGTCTTTTCTTGCACATTGAAATTGTAATAGCTATATCATGGAACAAACCAAAAGGACCGTAAAACCATTGAAGGTTTATTGTTGTGGAGCCAACTGGAAGGCTTGTAAAACAAAGTTACCATTGAAAAGTTAATGTCGTGGAGCCAACTGAAAGTATTGTAAAACAAAGTTACCGTTTAAATGTTAATGTCGTGGAGCCAACTCAAAGGATTGTAAAACAAAATTACAGTTGAAAATTTAATGTCATGGAGCCAACTGAAAGGATTGTAAAACAAAGTAACTGTTGAAAATTTAGAGTTGTGGAGCCAACTGAAAATACTGTAAAAGAAAGAAACCACTGAGAACTTACTTTTGTGGTCAAACTAAAAGGTTTGTAGAAAGTAACCGTTGAAGGTTTGTTTTTACTTGAATGTTTCAAATTAGCCCAATAAACGTAAAACATCTGCTCTGCTTTGTATATATGATAAACTACCAAATAACCTCCCGCTTTCAAATATCTTGCTTGATTGGTACAGAAATCTATCGTAGAAATATCTGTCACTTTCCTACTTCTACTACTTCGTAGTATTCTTTCCACTTTGAGAACAGGCATATTTGTTTTCTGTTTAAATTCAATGCTCTTAT